CAGGTTCATTCCGAGACTGGTCAATATGAAAGTACCCAGGTATGGAGCTTCAAGGTGTCACTATAATTAAGTTGTAGCCAGTGAACATAGCTAAATGGGAGCAAATATACCAACCGACCTTTTTTCATCAATAGTATTTTCAGCTTGGCTGGTAACTGTGTGTGTATAGGTGTGGTAGTGTTTTGTAAGCATCACCCTGTGCACATTAACAGTAGGTTTTTGTTTCTTCGTCCATTAACCTATAGATCTCAAAAAATGCGAACTTGTCATTGAACATGTCTCTAATGGGAGTCAGTGTCTTCATGGATGATCTGGAGATAAATAAAACATCATTTGCTAATAACCGTGGCAGATGGCACAAAGATTGTCTGTCATTGCTATTTCCCGCTTCACTGAGCGTGCGACGTGATCCGGCTTGCCTGATGAACTGGCCCCAAGCAGACACAGTGTGGAATAACAAAAAAAGTCATCTAAGATCATGCCAGTGGAGTGCCAGGGACCACCTCAGCCATAATACCTCCTTGGAAAAGGTGTTGGAGTGGGTGAGGAATGAAGTCTGCTTTCCCACTGAGATGTGTGGCATGAAGGGAAGAGTCAGTGGGAAGCAGTGATTAACTGTGGGTGAGAGACTTTACCTCCTTAGGCAGCCCAGGAAACAGGAGAGATTGAAAATGTTTAAATAGCAAAGAAAAGGAGGAAAACCTTTTGGAAAACTTGAGAACAAACCTTTCATGAGCAATGGGCTGCCAGATGATTTGACAACAGTGTGCAAGTATCCCCATGGACAGAAAAATCCCTGAGAAGTCTCTTTGCTGCAGCAGAGGAAGGTGGAACAAGAACCCTATCTGGAAGCAAAAACCAGGCAAAACAACAATCAGGTGTGATAATAAGGGTGAGGCTGATTATTCACTTGAACAACTGCTGATGAATTGGAAAACTCTTTGATATTTTCAAACCAAATGACTTTGTGGCAGATATGTTTTAGTAAAGTACAAATCAATCGCCTGACTACAGGCATAACAGTGTAAATGTTGTGTCCCCAGATGTCTGGCCATTACTATGTCTGGTATTATGAAGAATTAAAGATATATTCTTCTACAAACCATTCTGGAACGTTTATGTGTCTCATTAACATCTTTGCAAAAGGGGCCTGAGTGGTGTATTTATTATGTCTTTTCAGCGCCACAGCCTCCTCCCAGCATGACCAGCAATGGTACATAGCATGAACATGTAGTGGTTCATAGCATGAACACCCATGCAAAGAAGAGTCAAACCCTGCCTCCTTCCCTTCAGTTTGGGCAAGCAGGTACTGGATCATTCATTAGTGTTTCTCCGTGTTCTGCCATGGAGTTTCAACTCGTGCATTTCCAGAACAGCATCACATTTTCCTGGGTGCCAGGTGAGGCCGAATGCCTGGATGGTGAGCAGAGAGCCCCTATATCCTTCAGGCTGCAGCTCTGTGCTACGGGTGCACTCTCTCGCATACCCTCATACAGTGTCCCCTCGCCTGCTTGATGTCATACCCTGACACAGGGTAAGTCACCCTGGGTAGACACCACCCCAGAGGTGGTGCCATCTATAACAGAGATTTGTGGTGGACCAACAGTAGGAGAAGAAAAATATAAATATAAAGCAAGGATTAAGGGTTTTGAAATGTTTTTCTTCACTATTTCTGGCATCTGTCGGTTCCTTCACGGTCTTGTCATCATTTGGGAAAATGTCTGTTATAAATACACTTAGATTAGATGCTCTGAGATCAGCATCTAGTGTAATAGACGAGAACAAAACTATTGTTGATGTTACGAAGAGAATTTGTAGAAGTTCTTGCAGATTGGCAATTCATCCAGCATTTCAGATGTGAGGAGCACCTCATTATTGGCATGTCCAGTGGAACTTACCAGGGAGAGATCTCCTAGGTACCAGAGCTTTGCAGTCACTAAAATGAAGACAGGTTGATGATGAGATGGACTAAGTGACTTGCTCATGTTCTCCAACTGCCCAAGTACCTCTGTTCAGAGTCTTCCTGACACCGTCAGCCTTCCCCAGATCAAAAACCTCTAGGTAACAGTGGAAATACTTTATCAATGGCTCTGCACATTATGACCTGGCAGCCTTCTACTGTTGCATGCCATAGGTAGGATGAAAGCTTTTATACTAGGATATGGTGGAAATTCTCCACATATACTAACTCTACACGCCTTTTGAACAGTTGTCTTGAGAGGACTGGGTGGGCAAAGGGGATGGCAGCATTGTGCCAAATGTTAACTTTGGGGACAACCGTATTTTTGTATAAAACTGACAAATACATGTGTACCAGAGAAGAGAGCAGTGGCTACAGTCCAGCTGCACCAATGTCAGAGAGGACATGAACAGATTTTAGCTGCTTTTCAAACCTTGCACAGAGATTTGGATCTGGTCTTAAAGGAGGAGCTTGTGCTGATGCTTGATGCTTGCTTGTGCTGTGCTGATTTCCAAGCAACATCCTAAGCATCCAAACACAACTGAAATTGATTCTAGTGTCCTTGCTAAGACACCCCATCCAGCACAGCATTTCTTGAGTCTCTGGGAGCCCGGCCTCAGGAGGCAAAGGCTCTGCACACGCTGAAATCCATCGTGTCTCAGTGTTTGTTACAAAAGCAACCAAAACCCTGGGTCAGTTTGGTGGGTGGTAAAATTGCACTAGCTCTGTTGAAGCAGCAGGAAAAGCAGTGGCCCTTACCAGTCTGCATTTGTTCTTTCATGAAGAGACGACAATTTGCCCAGAAAGGCTGGAGTTGGCCATTATGTATATCTGCTACCAGCTTCAGCTGTTGTTTCCTGCATCTTTGGATTGCCATAGTCAACCGAGACAACACCACGGTCAAATACGGGCAAAGTCTGCACACCAAAGCTGCTTACATGCCAACAAATAAGAAATATGCTGACTCTGGCGGTTGACTGATTGCAAATTATGTGTATGTTGTAGCCTGTGTTTTCAGCTCTACCACGCTCTTTGACGGTACCACCCCACATCTAGTTGTAAGCAGCTGGAACCATTTAACCATTTAATGGTATTTTGGTTACTTCTTACAAAGCATTCTGCAATCGTATCAGCTTGATTTCCAAATACCTCATTACTGCTTTTCTACTTTGATCACTGAGAGTGGCCATGTATGGACAAAACTTTCTCGAAGCATTTACAATGTGTCTGCTTGAAACTACAGAGAAATCCACACCTGGAGAGTTCTCTAGTATCTGAATTTCTAGTTCCTATGAGCCAGTAGGGGCTTTTTGCCCTTGTTTTATTTAGATTGACTCAGCATCAGGTTTTTTGGTTTCTCTTTTCTCAGTCTTTTGCAGCAGGGCTGTTAGGATTCAGCTCACAGAGGCCTGTAATGGCAGAGCTGTCACCTGTGCTTGATCTCATAAGGAAAGGATTGAAAAAGTCAGGGCAATACTGGGGAATAGGGGCTGCTAAGGGAAGGAAACCAACTGTGAATTATAATTGGGTTTCAGCACTATTAAAACAGATGAGATGGGGACCCTTATTTCCTCACAGCTCCATAAATTTCACTAGGGCTGCTCCTGAGGACATCAGATGAGGGTCTGTCCTGGGGGCCACAGAACCTGTACCCCAAGAGCTCAGTTTGTATTTCCAAGGCAAAAGAAAAATAATTACTTGCCAACCTGAGAAGCAACAACTAAACTGATTGGAGTGATGAAGGAGACTTTTTTTTGTCTGAGGGAGAAAAAAGAGATGCAGTGTATTACCCAGTCTGGCATGTCTGAGCATCAGCTGAAGGCGAGCGGCCAGCTCCCAGGGTTAGCACCCTTCCTTGGTGGGGAGAGAAGTCATTATACAACATGGAATGAGGCAAATGGAGTTTTCATTGTGGGTGAAGAGTGGGACATGCTGCTGACAGCCAGCTCAATGGGCTGATGAAACAGCAGCCCCAGGGAGACTGTTCAAAGGCTCTTTCGGTTATTTAATGAAGTGTGGTTGAGTTTTGACCCCTCAGCTTCAGCGCCGGAGGTTTTCTGTGAGCATTTTAAGTCTTTCTCCTATCCCTGAGCTCACTGACTACTCAGAGAATTTTTCAAATCATATTTCCCTAGATTTGTAATGGTTTTCTTTCTTGCTGCGTGTAAGGCCACAGAGCTGACAGAACAAATTCATCATGTGGTGAAGCCAGGAGAGGGACTGAGCCCAAGAGCCCGTTAGAAGCACTGGGCACAGGAGGGGACCTCAGCCAGATTGGGCAAACCACCTCCCCAGGCACCGCCTGGTGAACAAGGTTCCAGCATCTACCAGTTCCCATGGCACTTACAACAACAGCAGTTTAAAGAAATCAGTTTTATTTAGAGAGAAGGGACTTGTCTTAAAACTTTTGGCTAAGTTCTTTTGAACCACGGTGGATAACGCGCTGTATGGCACAGTGCATTC